TATGAAATTAGGATCTCGGCTGTGAGAGAAGATATATAATTACTATGAATAAATGTGAGAATTCTTTTAAAAAAACAACAGCTGGGGTGAAAAAGGAATAATTCCTTATTGCTTGATGATTATGTGCTGTAAGTGTTGTATTATAAGGGTCTCATACAGTATTTTCATACTGCAACCATACTTAACTTTTCCAAATGAAAAGAAACATCATCATGCGAACGATTGTTTATCTTCACAATCAATAATTAAACGCTGAGATGCAACATTTCTATGTAAAAAAAGAGATTTTTGAGTCTTTATGTTGAAGGATATTGAGTTGTCAGAGGCAGGAGCATGAAATTACAGATATGGCACAAATTTCACATAACTAAGTATCCCTAGACTGTCCAGAGAAGTTCATATCCAAGACAGCATTCTTGGCCAATATTCCAATATACTTTCTATTTTCAGTTTCCAGCTCAAGCTAATTTTAACAATAACAAACTGCACTTAATTGGCAGCCGTATTCTAATCCCGAAAATGGCCAGCCTGATTGATTGATTACATTCCCACCACCAGGGATTGCCTTGCAAAAGGACAGGGATCATACTTGAAACACATGTTCTAAACCAGGGGCGTCAAACTGCCGGCCCGTGGGCCAGATGCATCATGCCAAAACCGCGTCCACCCAATTGCCGGCAATGGAAAAAAAGTCACGATATGTCACGACACGTCATGTGACATTGCGAGGTTGACACCTCTGTTCTAAACCTATAGAAAATTAGGATCACCAATCAGAAAAATGTTGTCCTTAATAATAACAATACGTAACAGTAAGTCCTCAACTTATGACCACAATTAAGCTCAAAATTTCTGTTTGCTAAGCAAGACAGTTGCTAAACAAATTTTGTCCCGTTTCATGATCTTTCTTGACACACTTTTGTTAAGTGAATCCCTGTAGTTGTTCAGTTAATAACACGGTTGTGGAGTGTGAATCTGGCTTCCCTCATTGACTTATCAGAAGCTCACAAAAGATGATCATATGACCTCCCAGGATACTGCAATCATCATAAATAGGAACTAGTTGCCAAGCATCTGAATTTTGATCACATGGCCCTGTGGGATGCTGCAAGGCCCTGTGGGAGGCTCGTAAGTGTTAAAAAGTCATAAGTCGCCTTTTTCAGTGCCGTTGTAACTTCAAACGGTCCCTAAACGAATGGCCGAGGACAACCTGTAACACAGGCCATCTGCACTATATTGGTCTTTCACGAGGCCATGAATTTCCCCCAGGCCTTGGGGTTGGGATGTTAGCAGAGGAGCTCTGGCACGAGTGTGCGTTACTTCACTGGTTTTGTGGTTGTACTGAGCCCCAAAGTAGTTTTAGTTGATTATTTGCTTTAAAGAAATTCTTTGTTTTTATTTTATGGGTTTTTTTTGGCTAGAGGGGCAGCCATATAGATTTCATTAACAAATAAATTACAACAAAATCATTCCTGTTATATAGAAATATTGATATTCTGCTGCAGTTTTTCAAGCCCTAGACCCCAAACCAGCATTGCCTCCAACATTTCTTATTCTTTCAGACAAGTCATGAAAATGTCAAAGCAATCACAGCAAAATATAAGACATCAGACATCAAATAACAAAGCGCGGCTTTGCCTGGCAAATGAAATATAAGTAAGATGAAATAATTCAGCAAGCAGCCCTGTAAACCAAGCCAAGCATAATACAGCGGAGAACCGAAGAATGCAATAAATCAATTGTCCCAAATAAATAGATGAATCTCCAGTAACTGAGAGTGTAAGTTATGAGGCCTAGTCTGATGAAGTTCCATGTTGAAAGTAATCCGCAGAAAATTCTCTCTCCCTTTAGTATTCAGGAGAGGAAACTGAAGAAGGTCTTGCAATGATGTCACTGTGCAGTCAGCTCAAAATCTTGTTGGTAATTAGCTGTGCTATCCATTTCCCAACATTTATTCTTTAATCGTAAGAATATATGAGCAGCACTATTGAAGTCTGTTTACAATATCCTGTGAATTTCTATTACAGCTTTAGAATTATATACAGCCCTTCTGATAGGACAGACTATGATCAAAAACTCACCCATCCCCCCCAAAAAACCCACCCACCCCAATTTCCTGTGGTACCCCAAAAGCTAATCATGTTCTCACATTGACATGATTGCTTGTACTTTATCTGTGAAATGGGAAATGTGTTTTGATACTATTATGGCCAAACCCAACTACTTCTCTTGCTATACTAATTAACTTCTGTTTAATTGCTTTCACTCTAATTAAGTAAAGTCTGCAATCAGTTGCTATAGCAACATTTCCATTAATACCAATCATCTTTTGAGGTTCAACTCTTCCCTTAAAACTGTAGCAGTGTTCCATTGGAATGTCAAATGCTTTAATAGATAAACATTTTCTTTAAAATAGATCCTTAACCATATGCAGCCCTTCAGTACAAATGTAAGTAGAGTTGAACTGAGCATCTTAACAACGTGGTCAACTTGTCTGCCTCCCAGTTTTGACCCAGTTCGGCTAAAACATGTATTTTGAAATCAGCTCTTTCGTTGGATTTATTCATGCCTTCTTGTATATTGTTATCATTAGATATATGCCACACTTTGGGTCTGAAGCAGAAAAGCGCTTTGGAGGGTATGGGCATGTATGTCTGTTTTGTTGTCACTTTCTTAAAAAAGGATTTTTTTTTATTCAGCCCTTACAGTAGCAGTGCAATTATAGGAAAAGGTGTGTTTGAAGGATATACTAATGGTGCAACAAGGTGCTTTGAGCAGGAGTGGCTCCTTATTTCAAACATAATTCTCCAGGGGAATCACACAGCTATGGCAAGGCCTATTAGCCTACATCCCCTTGAAAGCACCTTCTCTGCTTCAGAATCAATTGCTAATATGAAAAATATCCACTAGTTGCCTTGTACCATCCTTCCTTTCTTGAGTGCCACATCCATCAAGCTCCATTACTGAAGGCTTATATAATCATCTCACCTATTTCTGAAGTTTATAGGCATCATTTTCTTTAGCTGCTACAAGCCAGCTTCATTCATTTTAATTGGCACTGGGTTATTTTGAAATTGAAGCCAGAATCTCTTGATATTGGATGAAAGAAGCTGGGACATGTTAGTGATGGAAGTAAAAAGGTTTATGTCATCATCCAGAAAGAAAAAGGCATCATCATCATCATCATTGCTGCATGAATTGTGTGTGTGGAGATGGGCTGAGATGTATTTTTGATAATTGATAACAAGAGAAAAACAGCAAGGAGGAAAGAGAGTTTCTTCTTCTTATTATATTTCTTATTATTATTATATTTCTTATTCTTATTACATTCTAAGCAAATCCATCCACTTTTGTTTTGATTGCAATGATACCTTTATCACTCGCTATGTCTCCTACATTTTTTTTTTAAAATGTCCATAATACCTGATCAGTAATGTTCAAGATTATGTATTCTATGAGCCAAGTATAAGACCAGTATTTTGTGCGGTGGCATTTAATTTTATGATTTTCTGGTATTAATGGGAGGTAAACGTGAACATGTATTTATTAAGATGAAGTTATGGCTATTTGTTTACTCCGGTTATTCAAATTCTGCATAACAACCATCCCAAAGCAGAGTACAATGAATATAAAGAATTGTAAATAAAAAGGCAAGAAATATTTTGGGGAAACAAATTTCTGGCTCTTTCCCACATAGTGTTTGTTGGCCATGGCTGGGGAGGGAGGAAGAGTCCAGCTGAATGGGATTCTGGCTGTCTTCCTTCCACTGTTTTCATCCTCCAAGGCTATTGGTGGCAATGCTCAGGGGGGAGGACTACAGTAGACTTCAGGGATAATTCTTGTTTACCTTCCTGCAGAAGGAAAAGATAAGGAGAGCAGAGTTGCCTGATGGCTAATGACATGCTATGTAAATAAGTGGAAATCTTTCCTCTTTCTCCTTTAATGCAGAACTCATTAAATTACTGATGGAATTTTAGAGATTCAGCACTGGAAAGGTGAACGGCATCATTCTGTAGCCACAGAGATAACCTTGGAGAAACTATGCAGATAGGTTTCAACAACATACACGTAAACAAGTTTTGAACTTGGTAAACAAAGAATATTAGGAAGAAACTCAAGACGGGATAAGGAGGAGGGAAGGGAAAGTGCAGCCAGGTTTCAAGTTTGTTACTTTTTTTATTATTGTGTCATCAAGTTTTATCACTGACTCTTAGCAACCACATCGGTTTTCTCCAGGAGGATTTGTTCCCAACCTGATTCTTTAAGTCTTCCAACAGTGTACCTATAGCTGCTGTAATTGAGTCCATCTATCCTGCTGCTGGTCATTCTCTTCCTTTTCCTAACATTAGAGCTTTCTCCATAGAGTTGGGCCTTCACATAATGTGTCTGAAGCAGGATGATATGAGCCTGGTCATTTGTGTCTCGACTGAGAATATTGGATTGATTTGTTCAATGATCCATCAGTTCATCAGTGGTATTCTTAGGCATTTTCTCCAACAACATGGTTCTCAAGTATCAATACTCTTCGTATCATACTTCTTAAGAGTCCAATTTTCACATCCATAGAGCTGTCTACCATTTTCTGTTGTTCCTCCCTTGATGATTCCATGGATAACATGATGGCTGTCCCCATTGACTCCTGGGGGCAACTATGGAGCTGGTGCAGGCACCTCGATGTTCTAAAAATGGGGGGGGGGAATGAGATATTAAAGCAGCAGCATCTTTTGCAAGATTAGGGGAACTGTTTCAAAAGTTCTGTGAATGTGCATACTTTCATTTTGAACAGCTTGTAAAAGATACAGTTATGGTTATGAATCAAAAAGAGATGTTTTGAACCTCTCTGCATTGCAGAATACCTGACTCGGATGGATAGCTTTGCTAATTACTAACGTTAGTTTACTAATTGCTGCAATTGTGGCCCTTCCAGTATAAAGCAGCAGCTAACATTTAATTAGATGCTTGAAAATGAAGCTGATTTTGATTTACTTTTTAAATTTCAGATATGGCAGTGTGGAGGCTCCCTGGAGATTGTAACGTGTTCACATGTTGGTCATGTTTTTCGAAAAGCTACTCCTTATACATTTCCTGGTGGTACTGGCCATGTAATTAACAAAAATAACAGAAGACTTGCAGAAGTGTGGATGGATGAATTTAAAGATTTCTTCTATATAATATCTCCAGGTAAGGAATAATTTCATTACAATTTTATAAGAAATATACACAAGGATATACAAATCCACATACAATACATACATATACATATACATATACATATACATATACATATACATATACATATACATAATAGAGCTGGAACGGACCTTGGAGGTCTTCTAGTCCAGCCCCCTACTCAAGCAGGAGAACCTATACCATTTCAGACAAGTGACTCTAGTCTCTTCTTAAAAACCTTCAGTGATGGAGTGGCCCCGATTTCTGAAGGCAAGCTGTTCCACTGGTTAATTGTCCTAACTATTAGGAAGTTTCTCCTTAATTCCAGGTTGCTTCTCTCTTTGGTCAGTTTCCAACCATTGTCTCTTGTCCTGCCCTCTGGTGCTTTGGAGAATAATTTGACCCCCTCTTCTTTGTGGCAGCCCCTCGAATACTGGAATACTGGTATCATGTCGCCCCTGTTTCTTCTTTTCTTTAGACTTTATATATAGATTTTACACACACACACACACACACACACACACATACACACGTGTGTGTGTGTGTGTGTGTCTACCCCATACACCTGGTTTCAGCATTATTGGTACTGATATTTAATTTTTATTTCTTTGTCAGTTACAATCAATCTAAATGATGATGTGGTATGATATCTTCTATAGTATTGCTACAGCATTTAAATTATAATAAGTAAAAACTGAAAGAAAAATGCCATGCTGATCAACATACTTCAGATTATCCAAATATATAATTTAACTCTTGAACTTTGAGAAAACAAAACAAAAAGAAAGATAAACAGTAGGGCTTAAAATTTAAGAGTAGAAGAGTTGATGGAAAGTACACCATTCTCCCTGTTTTCTCCCCGCCTTTGTGATTGGGTTTCATATATATTCATGTATTTTCCAGGTAGATGATGTTTAGGACTGATTCAGATCAAGTTTCAAATAAACCCACAGAGAAAGAGCACTACGGGAAAGATGGCTTATTACAAAAAATCTCTAACTTCAAATGAAATGGTTCATGACTGCAAGGCAGAGATGAGAGATTTGTGATCCTCCATATGTTACTAACATCAGCTCCCACCAGCCCCAGCGAGCAAGGGGTGCCCCACTGGTGATAGAAACAATTCATCTAGAACTTCAGCAGGTTAAATCATTTGTTTCCAGGACTGACACACTTGATTTGGATTCTGTTGCATCCCCTTAGGCAGCAATCATATGCATGAATATCTCAATAAACATCCCTGAATACACTGACATTTAGCTCTGAGAAAACACATATAGGAATGCCCTGTAAACAGTGAAGGTGGTTCTCCTATGCAGTTGTAATAAAGAAGTGATCACGGAGTGTGCAAAAGCTGCCTTCTCATTCCAAAGACCCCCTTCCACAGAATGTGATAAAATTATGATGCTTTGGTTTTAAATTTACAGTAGTAGTAATAATAACACCAAAGATAAAAACCTTTTCTTCAAATAACCTTAAGCAATAGGGAAACAGCCATAGAAAATGGGGGCATTTCTATCCAGTTCTGTTTTGTAAGTTGTCCATCACGGTCGTTTAAAAAATAATAATCATGTATTTAGTAACCTTCTAAAGGATAAAGTCGGCTTAAAAGTTAGAATGTGTACTTTTGGGGGGGGAAGTCTTAGTACTTAGTACTTTATTTATTTATTTTTGCAAGAAATAACTTTTTATTTTATTTTAATCCAGCACATAAACCTAAGGCAGTGGTGGCGAACCTATGGCACGGGTGCCAGAGGCGGCACTCAGAGCCCTCTCTGTGGGCACGCACGCTGTCGCCCCAGTCCTAGGCCTTCAGCTGGGTTTTATAAAATCTTTTCGCTTTAGGCCTCTGCCGCCGTGTGCAAAAAAAAAAAAAGGTTCAATCAGTCAATTTCAACTTCTCGCGGGGAAAAAAAAGATCTTGCAAAGTTGGAATTGATTGATTAAACTTTTTAGTCCCACCCAGTCTGCAGTTACCATCGCAGCCATGCCCACCCAGTGGGCCACACCCACCCAATGGGCCACACCCACCCAATGGGCCACACCCACCCGGCACCCGATGATGCATAGGTGGGTTTTGGGTTGCAGTTTGGGCATTCAGTCTCTAAAAGGTTCGCCATCACTGACCTAAGGCATGTAAGAAGTCTATTGTTGTAATAAATTAGGATGGGTCCTTTGAATCTTTTAGAATATGAGTGGAAAATGGAAACAAAACATATTTAAAATTATTCTGCTCCTCTATGTCTTGAGATATTTTTTTTTCCATTTAAGGTTGTTTTGCTTTCGGTGGGGATGTGGTGGATTGAGTGGCTTGCAATGGGCCTAACCCTAACCCTAACCCTCAACTACCTGGGGCTCAGGCAAGACACTTGCAGCCTGAAGAATTCTCCAGATTGAAGGAGAATTAATCTATTTGGGCTCCAGGCAGCTGTTCCTTGCAAGAAGATTGTGAAATGGAGGTTTTGCAATCAGCTAGTGCAGGGGTGACAAACTCGCCGTGTCATGTGATGTATTGCAACTTTTTTCCCATTGCCAGAGCTGGGGTGGTCGCGGTTTTGACATGACGCATTTGGCCCGTGGGCCGGCAGTTTGACACCCCTGAGCCAGTGAACCAAGTGACTGGGAGGCCAGATTCTGACACTAGATCCAACTCTCCATTTCTTAAGCTGTAATGAAATGTGGTCTGGATTCCCAGGACAGAGAGGCCGCGTTCCAGAGGACAAAGAGACAGTGGAACTTAGATAATTTGGTCAGGAGAAAGAGAGTTGAAAAGCATTCTCCTTCACAATTATCAGAGTATATCTATAATGATGCTAATAGTTGCTTGAGTTTGCCAAAATTGTTATCAGGCCCCAAGAACCAAGAATGACATGTACCATTACTTCTGAGCAGTTACCTTTATTGTTCCTCATTTACAGATAGAAATCTTGCTAAACTAAATTGAAGATTCTTTGCAGCATCTCCAGTTCAGGCCAGTATTATAATACCTACTTGAGTGTCATCGAGATACTGAACCAACCTCTCCCAGTGGTTTTATAGAATGGTGAATTCTATAGGGCCAAGTCCAATGGCACTACAAAATGGAGCAACCAAAGGCTTGACCACTCACACCCTATGATTACTAACTGGAATTGCCCACTTGCCCACTCAAGTATGATTGGAACCACTGTAAAATGGTTGATCCCATTCCTACCTGTTGTAGCAGGATACCATGGTTGATGATGTCAATGTCAATGAGGGGTCCAACAGGATGAGGAAGGGGATGCTTCATCCAAGGGCCGATGAAGGTCATCCATGTGAGTGGTTCCTTCTCATAACTTATCACTTTTATTTAAAAATACAACAAATGATCTTTCCGGGGAAGAAATGGTGAACTGAAGATGGCTCCACGGCCTTTTCAATAACCATTCCCCAGACCTGCTGTAATTGCAGTGCTGAAATCACTGCTAAGATTGTTGTTGATCTGTGGTGAGGTTTCCTGCCATTTTGAATAGAAAGTGACAGAAAGCTGTAATATAAGCTTAACCAACCTGATCCTGAATCAAGAAACAGATGGAATATTTTGGCTCCACCCTTGTGTGTGGATGGTGCTGCCCACTTTGCATAATTTCCACTGAAGCCTTTAACTCTTCACAAACATTAAATATGGTCCAACTCTGCCAAAAGTTTATTTTACTGTAAATAATTAGCTCAGCGATTGCTTTAACAGCTAGTTGTGAAAGAATTACAGTGTATAATTTTGATGTACCACCTTGGGTAGCTCTACTAAACTCACATAGTATGGGGTCCTCTAACATTGTCATTGGGTTTTGGGTGGTGTTAAACAATTAATAAATATGCCTAGGAATCTAGTTTCATACTTAAATGGCATTTTTCTTTTCTTGATCAGAGACAACAGAATTGAGAACTTCAAATTGTATTTTTGATCAAGAATAAAATAATGATGTTTTCCTGAAATCTGGTTTTGTCGTACCAACGTCTTTAGTACTTATATAACAAGGCAGAGTTTGTACCAATAAATATGTTGGGTGCTTCATGATGCATATTACTGGTTGCAGTTCATAATATAATGGTCAATGTCACATGAAGAGTCGGTAAACAATAACATACTAAAGAACTGACTAAAACATTGTAACTAGGCAAAAGTGGGAAGATAGTGGATTCAATTAAATTTTCTGACAAGGATGCAGTGGGAAGATTTAGAAGTTCTTACATCATCAGACTTTGGGCTGTTTTCATCTGAGGTCTGATGCTTTGACTTTTTTAAGGTTTGGCTTATTTTTTCCCCTTTGCTTCTTTGTTTCTTGATTTACTGTTTGCTGTTATTGTCACACCGTTAGGTAGCATGTCCTCATGTGTTTTCAGGTAACAGGTTTAGAACACAATTAAAAATAGATAAGTCAGTAGGCAATTAATTTATAGTTTTATAAATACCTGCCTTTTCTACATCCAGTGTCAAAATATAAAGATCCGTTGGATCTTAATTCCTAATATATTTGGTCTTGTTCATTGCCAATTTCTTTGAACCTTCAAAAAAAATTACGGTTTTTGTAATAAATTGATTTTTCAATTTACTATTAATTTTACATCAAAAAAGTGGTGTCAGCTAATAACTCTGAATGTTGCATAATGCAAAGGTTTATAGCCCTTATAATTGCTTTGTGGTGATTTTCTATTTTGATTACATTTTTAATTATGGTTAGTAGAGAGAACTATCTTTTTTTTTAGGAAGGGTAATGATTACAATTAATTATATCCCATTTTATCAAATAGGCTTACCCTCAAGTAAAATGCAGTTGATTATATTAGGGCTTGCTCAACATATGTTATAACTCACTGTATACCCTGGAGTTTATTTCCAAATGAATACATAGAATTGTACTGTCAATTCTATCCCTGTTCTTAAAAATAGAATTTTCTGTCTCTGTAATAAACAAGTCTTTTATTAAAACACTCCCAGACAGTGGAATTGTATGCAGAAATCAGTTGTAAAGGTAGGGAGCAATTTATTC